TGGCATATGTCCGTGTGACAACCAAACTCCATTACGACATTCTGAATCCCTTTGACGTACGCCTATCGGTGATACGCTGAGCTTTCACTCTGCCAAAGGCGTTCAGACGAGGAGGGCAGTGCCAACAGATATTGCAGAGTATATGCGGTTTTTGGAGATCTCGAGGGATGCAAGCGCGACAATCACAAGTTATGACTCTGCTCGGGAGCTTGTGAACGATGTATCCTTCCACACAGGTTACTTCAACAGTTTACGAGCCATGGCAGAGAACCGCCCTTTCCTGACAGAAAAAGGCTATCTAGGCATGGGTCCTAGTCATACAGAGCCCGGCGACCTCGTCGTCATCTTCTACGGTGACCGAATTGCCTACGTGATCAGACCAGCGCCGGAACATCGGGAGAATACATACACGCTTGTCGGGGAAGCGTACTGCGATGGGATCATGGACGGGGAGATTGCCGATAAGGCGGAGAAGAAGGATTTCTTTTCTCGTTTGATTTATTCTTTTTTTTCTGAAAAAAGAAATGAAATGGTATTCTCGACGCCCACATAATGTAGCTTGATGTTGGCAAAAGGAAAATCAATTTATCGTCAAGTAAATCTTCACACACACACACACACATCTCCCCTCCCCCAGAAAAAAATAAATGAAAAAAAAAAATTTTTATATATATATATATATTTGAAGAAAAAAAAAGAAGAAAAAAAGCCGCCTAGTTTGTTGCCCCCCAAAACCTAAATTCCAAAGAGTCCAATGTGATCGGCTCCTAGCGGGTAGTCAATTGCCGAAACAGCGACAGTCAAGGTCTTTGACCGTGGGAACGGGTGTGGCCTCTGATTGAAGAAGCGAAAATTGGGAATCAGCGAGGGGTGAAAGTACTGAAGGTAATGCGAAGCTGGACAGAAGCCGGACGAACCCGCCGCCGGCCATTGGATCCTGGGCGCGGATTGTTGTCTCAGCCAAATCGACTCGTCTACAAAGATGTCAGCAGCTGCCCCGTCAGTGTGTTGCAAGCCAACCACCATGGTTATGACATGCCAGGATGGAAGTGAAGAGGTGGGCTAATGTAGGCAGATAAAGGAGGTAGATTAAGGCAGGTACATGAAGGAGGTCGATCGTGATCAGTTTGTCATAGTGGGTCACCAAACCATGATCCAACAAGAAAAGAGCGAGAGATTTGCTTGCCACACTCTCATCTACATACACATAACTGGGCTGAGAAGTACTAGGAACTAATCAGGAATGGTCTTTTGATGGAGTGCAATCTTGATGTTACCCGTGTAAGAGATCTAACCGCAATGTCAGGTCGGTCAACTTTACTCATAATCCGCCCAATTATATCAATCATTTTAGGGCCAACTCCCCACTCACCGTAATGCCTCCGTCCGAATGATATGGATATGGGAGCTGGTGGTTCATTTTTTGACCCTACCACGTGATTAAAAGATCCGTTTCCTGTCCTTCCCGCTCCCATAGATAAGAACACTGAGGGCCAGACCAGTAGCTGGGTCGGTGACGACCAGCGAATCCCTGGTGTTGTATGTTTTTTTTTGGGTCTCTTTGTTTTTCACTTTTTGCATTTTGCCTCTCATTCTCCCTCTTCTCATCATCGTATTGCTTTTCGATCGAATCTTTGGACATGCGAGTGGCCAATGCGATTCCCTTGTGGATGTTGGTCGCTTTTGGTTGATCTTTTACACAAGCCAGTGTTGAGTGGATTTTGGTGGCGTGGATGAACAATGGGAACAATGGAGTATTTAATACCCCATGACGTGGAATCCGGAATCAATCAATCGGACAAAGTTAAAGTCAATGAAAACTCTGTATTTCTTCAAGACAATAAACCCGGAGTAGGTCATGCCATACCCGAGTTGGTCGACCTGAACATCCAGTAAACATGGAGGCACCTCGAGGGCAGGTGCCTTAGCTTCAGAGACCTTGAGGGTTATGTATTTCAGGGGTAGGTGCAAGCTTCCCCGCAGTCCCCGCTGTGGGGGCCTTGTTTGTCACTCAATGCCGGGCATCTATGGTACAACGTCATCATCCACGACCGACTGTCACTCGAAACCCATTAACTCAAACTTACGCGACAACATCTCCTAAGCACTTTGATACCATATAAATCCAATGCCAGTCTGTACGCGATAACCAACTCGACGACAATGCCCCAAGACGACATGCTCGAACACTCGCTCAAAGCGCAATCTCTCCTCCTCCCCAGCGCCGCCTCCCGCCGTCCTTTAACCGACTTCTTCACCCGCGCCCTCTCCGCCTTCCAGTCCTCCTCCGACGCGGCGCAAAAGTTCCAAGTCATCTGTACAGCTCCCAGCCATGCTTCCACTTCCGCCGCCGCCGAAGCACTGGGAAAATCCTACCCCCAACAGCCTCCAGCACCAATCTCACCGACCAAGCGACCGCACACTTTGATAGTGCTGGACTCAAGCTTTAACCCGCCTACGCTGGCGCATCTGCGCATGGCTACCTCAGCAGTGGAAGACATCATCAAGAGAAAGGGGAAGGGAGAAATTGACGGGGTAAGACTGCTTCTCCTCCTAGCGGTCGTAAACGCCGACAAGGCGCCCAAGCCCGCGGCTTTCGATCAGCGATTAGCCATGATGTGGGCATTTGCTCGGGACGTACAGCGAGCATTAAGGGAGGACGAAGATGAAAGGCCCGATGTGTTGGCTTCTGGGCCTGGGCCGAAGCCGCAACTCAATAATCAAGAAGCGGAACAAAAGCAAGGACTAGACATCGCCGTCGACATCTCACTAACAGCTAAACCCTTCTTCCACGAAAAGAGCCGGGCAATGGCCGAGTCCGAGTTTTACAAACCACCACCACCTGAACAGAAAGAAGGGGGGAAGGAGGATACGATGGAACAAGTAATCCTTGCAGGCTACGACACCCTAATCCGCATCTTCAACCCCAAGTACTATGGTCCTCCTCCGACCTCCGTCACCCAGGTCGCCACGCAAATTAGACACGTACACGACCCAAGCAAAAAGGGGACGCCAATGCAGCAGGCCCTCGACCTCTTCTTCTCGCGGGCGAAGCTACGGGTAACGATGCGGACGGATGATGAGTGGGGAGGCAAGGCCGAGCAGATGGCGTACCTGGAGAGCTTGCTGAGCGAGGAGGGGTTGCAGAAGATCGGTGGGAGTAAAGGGTGGAAGGATCGGATTGAGATGGTGGAAAGACTCACGGAGGAGCGGGACTCGACGGAGGGTTGTCAGTAGTACGTATGCTAGAAAGGCGGCGGAGAGGGAGGAGTGGGGGAAACTGGGGCGGTTGGTGAGTCCTGGGGTTGGGAAGTGGATTGAGGGGGAGAGGTTGTACGTTGTTGACGTGAGGCCGGGGGATGTTGACTAGATGGATAGGTAGGGGTTTTGGTGTTTTGGTGGTGTTGAGAAATGGGATGGTAGATGTGAGGGTAGATGTGATGGTGGAAGTGACATAGGTAGACCGATAACATCCCTTTCATGACCGACAAAGTTTGCTGTATTTTGAGCAACACCTGACGAGTCCGCCTGTTTCATCATGTTTAGGCCATCACAGTTTTTGGGAAGAATGTACTGGTCTTGAGTCGCAAAGTACTTTCTCTCGCAAAGGATATGGACATGAACATCTCGAGAGGTCTTCAGATCGGCCGAGGATTGCTGAGGAAGGAAGATGTTGACACACTCGCAGAGTAATATCCTCATGCAAACAACGCAGCACCGTACTTTCCACTCCCATAGCCGCTTTTTCATCCCAAATTCCATGTTGTCGAGACGCAAACACTGGCGGAGCAAACGGCATTCACGAGAAATTTTGGCGGAGTGGTCTGGCAGAACCCGTTTGCCTCCACCGGTCCACCTTCTCTTTGCACTTCCAGAACCTGGGGGACCGGCAGATTCTGTAAGGCTGACCCCACCGAAAAAGTTCCCTAGTGGAACCCAGATTTGCACCCGTGCACAGACCAGTGGCAGTCCCTCTGGAAGGGTATTTAAGATGCCTCTCCCCGCCTCCAGTTCAGTTTCCTTTTTCTTTTTTTCTTCATGTCGACAATACTTCAGTGAGTTCCCCCCTACTATTGGGCTTCCAAACACTCTTGTAACAATCTGCTAACCATTCAACCCACCAACAGGAGAATCATTTCTATAGTATTTGTCCTCTTTTGTGTTCCCTAAAGGAGCCACAGATCCCACCCGGGATGATGATCAATATCCTCGTTTCCCAACAGTGAGGTCCTTTTATTTACTCTCGCTCTGCCTGCAAAGGTGGCGATCTGCTTTCGAGTGGATTGTATAGAGAGTGGCGATGATCTGTACCCCGATTTCTCGAGGTCTGCCTTCGGGCGCTTGGGCGGGGTGGGTTTCGATGGAAGTCTGACCGGCATACATCACTTTTCTTTTCTTTTTTCATTGTGCTCTTGAGCTTTGCGAAAAGCTTGGGACGCGAGGAAGAATATTCTGTTTGCGACTGGCGAGGGGTTGTTGGGGAATGTTCTACCGGGCAGCTGCCATTGCGAAAATTTGCGATAAGATCTGAGGTGCCTTCATCTGGACATTCAGACTTGGTGCCTTTTAGCTCAGGCCGCGAGGATCATAATGTGCGAGAATCTGCCAGTGAATTCTCTGGCTGTGCTCTTCTGGTGCAAAGTTTGCGACACTCAAGTTTTGATCCCTTCACTTGGATGTTCAGAACTTTTTGCGCTGCCGGCCGGTTGGAACTATTTCAGATGTGAGATGCCGGCTGCAACCTTTTTGTTATCTTATCTAACTTATCGGAGTTCCATTCGCTTATCGCTCAGCGCCAAGTGTCATGGTTGCGCCTGGCAGGTGCCGCTATGTCTTCAAGGAACTCACCTTTGGGATCCACTTTTCACTTCCTCCGACCACAGCCCGAACATCTCGACATTGAAGACGTTGGGAAGGTGCGCTCTGACGCCTCGCGAGGAGGGGTCACACCTTGTGGCAGGCCGGTTCATTGCAATGCGGCTTTGTTCTCTTTCATTGCATCTACCGAACCCTCTGAGTTGGACATTAGGTTGAAACCAGTACCTCTTTTCTCTCTCCGTCCTCCCTCTCGGCCTCACTACCCGTGATGGTTTCAAGACGCGGATGAAGCCGCCTTGTCCGTGACACACGAAGCACATCATCCCGAACCCTCCATGTATTTCATTCGGAAGTTTCCCTTCTCGTCCATTGTCTTCATCGTCATCACCATCTTACTGCTTCAGTGGCTGAGAGCATCCAAGCCAGATACCTTCGCAAGCTCGCAACGCTACTTTGATGTTCATCATGTTTGAGCCTCACGATGTTCAGTTCCTGGAATTTCAAACTCGGCAGTACCTGGTTCGTGGCATCAAAGTACGCTTTGGCTCTTGCGCGGCTGATGCTGTGTCACCTTGAGTATAGGACTCCACTAACCTCATTTCCCTTCTGCCTCGCTCTTTCCTTTTCGTCGTGCATTCTCCTCTTGCATGGATGGCCGACTTTGATTGGCCACAAGCAGGGTAGAGGAGAGGAATCCTCAAACCACGAGAACTTATTCTCCTCTTGCATCCCAGCGTCCAAAAGGCCATCTACTCTCATACACACACTTTGACTACCCTAACCTTGCATTCGCATCTGGTCGATATTTTCCGTGTCTCACAACATTCACCGCCCATGGCCGGGTCGTGTCTCGTACATCCAAGATTGGAACTTAAATTCCCTTTACGAACTCCGATAACCATGGTCGGGCTCATCTACCTCAAACTCCACGTTTCTCGTGCTCCATTAGGGTCCTGGCGGTCAAAGAAACATCATGATCCTTGCGGCGAGCAGAAGATGATGTTACCGAGCGGTAATTTCGGTGCTCAGCCAGCCTCCGTCGTCACTTGTGCGGCTACTTTCGGAATGGTTTCTTCCCTTCCATGTCAATGCCCCTTCCCGGGGCATAAAAGCGTGATCAAACCAGATCAACTGGATTACCTTGACCTGAAATCACCTTCTTCAGTCAGTCTCGAGCTTCCTTTCTTCAAGGCGCCTTTACTGTGGTTCCAAGGAAACTTTTGCTTGCCATGCGCCTTTCAAGCTTCTTACTGCCTTTGTTGGCGGTGGGTGGTAAGGCTCTGTCTAAAAAGTACATCATTGAGGTAGACCAGGTAAGAGACAGAGAACCCTATTGTAGTCAACGTTTGTTGTCTCTAAGCTAACTCGCTTTCTAGGGGGCAGATATTGATGACCTTGCCAACAAGTTCAGCGTAAGCGCTGGTGGCCGTAGTGTCATTCGTCGCTTCGACAAAACACCAGACGTCTTCTTCGGCCTCTGTGTCGAAACAGACGATATGAACATCGAAACGCTCCCTGGTTTCCCGGGCATCCTACGGGCCTGGCCTGTCGGCAAAGCTACTCTCCACACTGCTCGAACGGCCAGTCCATCCATCAACATCGCTTCCGCTGCCAACTACTCAGTCCACAGCTTGACTGGTGTCGACAAACTTCATGCAAGGGGCATCTATGGCAAGGGTGCCAAGGTGGCTGTTGTTGACAATGCGATAGACTACAAACATCATGTGGTATGGTCCGTTCTCTCGCTTTCAAGGTCCCCTGAAACTAACAAGGTCAGCTCGGTGGAGGGTCCGGAGACGGATTCAAAATTGCCCGTGTCACCAATCTAGTTGATGGTAACTGTAAGCACCACGATGGACATGCTACGGGAACGGCTACAGTACAACTAATCGCGGCCTAGCCTGGACGTTTGATTCCCAAATCCCGGACGATGGCCCATCTGGACATGGCCACGGCACGCGAGTTGCTGGAGTGATTGCTGGCAAGACAGACTGGTTTACCGGTGTTGCTCCCGAGGCTACCTTGTACTCCTATATAGTCTTTAGCAACGATGTAAGTCCACCTCCACGAATTGGGTTGCACTCCGTGCTAATAACTTTGCCCTGTGTACAGTCACGAGTAACGGACGAAGACGTAATCATCGACGCCTTCCTGCAAGCCTACAAGGATGGGGTGAGTCTCTTGTCTAACTCAGCTCTTATCTTGTGCGACTTACACCACATCAGGTAGACATCATTACCTCCAGTATTGGTGGTGAAGGCGGTTGGTCGGGCGGTGTCTGGGCTACCATTGCTTCACGTCTGGTCGACCGAGGCGTCCTTGTCACCATCTCCGCTGGAAACGAGGGCTACAAGGGCCCATTCCTCGCCAGCCCAGGAGCATCGGGCAAGAATGTCATCGCAGTAGCCTCCACGGAACCCAGTGTGGCACCCGCGTGGCCGTTCAAGGCAACCTTTACCCACGGCGGCAATTCAACCACTGTGCAGTCGGGGTACCTCCAACAAATTTACGACGAGCACCCCTGGGGACGGGATGTAACGGATGACTTTCCCATTACTCCTCTCTCACTGAATGCCAACAACACTGCCGAGGCCTGTGAACCGTTGCCCGAACATGCTCCCGACCTCTCCGTCGGCATTGCATTGCTTCGTTACGGAGGATGCTCCCCTGAGGTCAAGCAGGAGAATGCAGCCAAGGCTGGGGCCAATCGTATCTTCTTCTACAACGACGGCAGTGTCTCTGCGTGGGACTTCACCAGAGGCACCTTCAACGGCGAGCCTCCCGCTGCCTTAATCGAAGCGAAAATGGGCGAGGCCATGGTTGCCACTATCGCTGCTGGAGGCAAAGTAACAGCGAACTTTGCCGTTACCAACGACACCGCATGGAGGGTTGACTTTCATGACCCCGCGGGCGGTATCCCATCCGCTTTCTCAAGCTGGGGCGGTACGAACGAACTTGAGATCAAACCCGATGTTGCCGCTCCTGGAAGCGATATTTACACCACTGACATCAATGATTCATGGTCTTTTCAGTCAGGAACATCCATAGCATGTGCCTACGTGGCTGGCATCGCGGCCCTGTACATAGGTGAACATGGCGGCCGGAGCGTCCACGGCCCTGGAATCGCCAAAGCGCTTGCAAACCGCATCATCTCCAGCGGCGCGTCCGTCCCATGGCAAGTCGACGACCCTGTTGGCCATATGCCAATCGACTACAGCTTCTGGGCTCCCGTCCCTCAAGTTGGTAGTGGCCTGGTCAATGCCGCAAAGGTCCTCGACTACACCACCTCCCTAACTTGGGAAAAATTTCACCTCAACGACACCGCCAACTTTCAAGCACATCACTCCGTCACCATCACCAACAATGGCCCAAAATCTGTAACCTATTCATTTGCCCTCCAACCTGCCGGCGCCTTCAATGCTCATTCTGATTCTGACCCCGAGTACCTCTCCTTTTTTACCGATTATCTCGAGCCCTATTCCCTTGTCCCCAGAGTGCAGCTCCCCCAAAATGTAACGATTGCCCCTGGAGAAGCCAAAACCGTCCACATCAACTTCCAGCCTCCTTCCCCATCCTGGCACAACGTGACGAAGCTTCCGCTCTACAGCGGGAAGGTTCTGATCAATTCCAATGAGAACGAACACCTCTCCATCCCCTACTACGGTGCCGCCTTCTCACTTCGTTCCGCTTTCAAAGACCACATGTTTATCTATGGCCCCTTCCAAGCCGCCGGACCAGACAGAGAAGATATCGACACCTACCATACCTACGACTTCAATCTTTCTTCGGCCGCACGATCGTACCCCACGGTTGCCGTAAATTTGCGGTTCCCTACGAAGACGCTAAGATGGGACATCTTTGAGGCCGACTGGACGGAGGCGCAGTGGAACACTTCGGCGCCCTATCCACCTGTTCCAGGGAAGAACGGTTACATTGACAGTGTGGCGTTCTGGTCGTATGGTGAGTTTGACCCAGATAATCGGGATCTACCCGGGTATTGGGACACGATAAGTTTCCCATTAACGGTTGGGTCGGGCCTCGACAGGGGCAATGCCCGAGATAGGTTCTCTACGTGGTTCAGCTGGCTTGGGAAGTTGGCTGGGGGAAGTTACATTCGTACGGGGAAGTATCGGTGAGCTTCCTTCCTGCGTTTTTATGTTCTTTCTTTTTGGCGTCAAGCAGGCTTATGAGACTCTTACCAGTTTTGTAGCTTGCATTCATGATTGCTAATATGTCATCGCCCCGAATAGCTTCCGCTTCGCCGCCCAGATCCCGTTCACAGATCCCTCGCACTCAGAGAGCTGGGATGTCTGGAAAACACCCGTTATCACAATTCTTGACTATGGCCGGCACATCTAGGACAGAAGCCAATTTATTGTGGCGTTCTAGGATCTCAACAAGACATCTACATGTTCTTGACTTTACATTTTTGGCACGAGGTTGGACAAAATTGATATCTGTTATTGCGCCTTCTTTCAGAATGATAAGTCTGAGTATATTTATTTAGATGTTGAACAAGCGCTTGCCAGTACGTCGTGTCGGCGATGCAGTCGCATTGGAGTTAGGGGTAATGTATTCGAATGACTCCGAATTCAAGAACTCATAGGTTGAATCATTCTTTGCGCAAGATGGGAAGACCTCGAAGTCTATCTTCCATTCTTGTCGCCAATTTTACCTACCGACACTAACAACACTTACATCGCGAATCGGTACCCCCAATCTTCTCGACGATTTTACGAAAATGGCACCCAAACTCTGTAGAGTCTGTCGCGCTATTCCATCCTCCTTCTGGACTCAAGAGATCAGCCAAACCTCCAGCTTGGATCCCGATAATGAGCCCCCATCCGATTGCCCTCGAGTTAAACCCCAACTGCATAGGTGTATCGAGGAGATGGCCAATAGAGGATGTCAGCTCTGCCAGATCTTCCTATCTCCTCCTATCTCCCTGTTCTGGCCCTCACGCTCAACCCCGAAGTGGCCAGAAGTACCGTAGTGGAGCTATTGCGAGTGAAACCCGACACCGACCACGGCGGAGATGGCGAACTGTCATTTCGTGTTGGGGAGAGAGCGGTATCCTCTGGCTCGCGCTGCTACCAGGTTCCTCCTTTCTGCGGTAAGTCCCTTTGTTCCTATGTGCAATCAACCAAGCGGTGTCTAACGTAGGCTGTTTTTTTCTTCTAGCGCGTTTAGCACCTACGTCAAAGGACGAGCGATAGACAACCTTGTTCTGATGAAGCTTTTGATTGAAAATTTCAGGAAGAACCACGTTAAATACTCAGAGAACCTCACCGGCTTCTTACCCACCAGGCTGCTTAATATTCGTGCATTTGAACATGAGGGAAGTCTAGACATCAAACTCGTGCGTTTGAACACCAGCGACTATTTTGACGACAAGCAAGATGTTCCAAGTTATGTCACTCTCAGTCATTGCTGGGTACCGCCAGAGAAGCGACCGGTCATTACAACCAAGGCAAACTTAGAGGAGAGGATGACTTGAATACGCTTCGACGAGCTTCCACAAACGTTCAAAAGACGCTGCCCAAATCACCCGAGAACTGGATCCCAGCCTTTGGTACCTATGGATTGACTCCCTTTGCATTGTCCAAGACGACACAAAAGATTGGGCAAGAGAAGCTTTCGTGATGGCGCACGTATACAGCCAAAGCTCTATTGCCTTAGCAGCTCTCAGCTCTTTCGACAGCAGCCAATGGTGTAACCTCGTGGGCAACATCCAAGAGAAAGTCGGCACCATGATTGATATTGATTCGAAATACAGCATGAGTGATACCGGCTAGGGGTCTACAAGAATTCGTGTGACACAGTACAAGCCCCAGCCCTGGAGCGAGCACTACGCCGATTATGGCTACGGCTTCTTCACCACCAAGCAAATACCCCTTCGTTGGCGAGCCTGGGTCTTGCAAGAAAGGGAGCTTTCTAGAAGGAGCATTCACTTTGGCGCTGAGCAGTTGCTCTGGGAGTGTCGGGGAGCTGAAAGCCATTGCGCAATTGCCGTGGCTTACGAAGAACAGGGCATTGTATCATCGATACAAAGCAAATTTATGCGATCTTTATCCGACCAGATCGAGATGAATTCTCTGGTCACGGCGATGAAACATCGCTGGTTCTTGCTCGCGGAAGATTACTCCGTTCGGCAACTAACAAAGGAAACTGACAAGCTGCCCGCGCTATCTGGAATTGCGCAGTCGTACCAACAGTATTTCGGACCAGAAGCGGTCTACATGGCCGGGACATGGACTACGCACCTCCCTGAATCTCTGCTCTAGGCGATACAACAACCAAGCGATGACTTCTTCGCTGTCAGGGCGTCGACGTATATGGCGCCCCAGTTGGTGATGGACGTCAGTCAGGACGTCTATTTCGTATAGCAGTTTGCGTCTGAAAGAGGCGCCCGTCAACGACGTCGCCGATACCTCCACTATCACAGCAAAGCAATGTCATCCGGCAGACGAGCTCCTAGCCAGCCTCAAAGTCAAAGATATGAAAGACGCACCCAAATACGCACCCGACCTCTACGGTGCCTTAATTCACAACAGCTCCTACCTCCTTCTAACCGGGCCCGTCTTGTCACTATTGATGCTTTCGCGCTTTCACTTACTCGGTACGGCGATCAAGATATGACGATGAATGATCTGGTGATACTCGAAGGGGGAGAGATGGTGGGGGTTCTTCATCCTGATGTCCGGAGCGAGTTGGAGGGTTAGTGCCAGAAAAATGCAGGCGAGATGAGTGGAAGTCAGGCAATTGGAAATGGAAGAGGACCTAGTAGGCTGGTTTGCTTGGCTCTAATGGGAGAACCAGAAAGGGGGGAGACGGAAAGGCCTAGTCTATATCACGATATGGATGTAAAGAATGGAGAATTAGTTATGGGTCTTGTGTTTAGGAGGCTTGCAGATGCGGACGAGAGAGAGCAAGGTGGGGATGTCGAGTATGAGAGGGTTGAGTTGGCGAGGTGGATGAGGTTGGAGATGTTTAGGGAGGTGAAGGAGGGGGTTGTTAAGTTGGTGTGATGTTGAGGGATGTTGGTGGGTGGAAGAGACGAGTTGATCGACAGATGACGCCGTTCACAGTCGACATCAGCACGATAGCGACGCCCACATTCTTGATCGCGGTCTGCATTTCCGTCTTACACTCGGCACTGCTTGGCTCCATGTAAGCAACAAGTGTTCATTCGGAAAGATCTAAGTTTATCACAATATAGCTCCTGGTATCCGATTTGATGCTACCGGGTGGCTTTGTGTCAGAAAATATCCCGCGATAGCGTGCGTCAGCAAGCCCCTCACCACCAGAACTGTTTCGACAAAACTCACTACCATGACCTCCACCAAACTCTGGCCAAAAGAGCTCAACATGCTCTGTCCAAATTGCGAACACCTGTTTCCTCCATCCGGACCATGGCCTTGGGACGGAGATACGATTGGCAAATTCGTGGACGCCAAAGGGGAAATGTGCGAGCCTAGCGTCGAGGAGCTCGATGCTTCAGCAACAACGCATGGGTGTCATCTATGCCGAGCTTTTCTGGAATGCATTTTGCCCGGATCGTTGAAGTTTAACCGACACGGCTACCCTGCCTGGTTCGAACTCAACAAGGAATTCCGCTACAGTCTTTCCCTTTACGTGCCCCGGCATGACCCAAACCAACACTTTCGATCTGTTTCCTTGGGATTGACGGCAACAGGGGAGCGTAGATAGATGGGGATTCAAACAAGGGGGTTAACCATCTACAGAGCAAGTCCGGTGGTGTTATCCGGTGATGCAAACCCGCGCCGCTGGATCTTCAAAGAAGTTGATCCCCCGGCGCATTCCGAGGGGATTGAAGACGCCGAACTCATGGACGTCGATGTGGTTCAGCCAACGTCACCCACAACATTTGACCCTCTCGTCTTCGAACAGCTGCGAATATGGGTGGACGAGTGCACGCAAAATCATGAGTTCTGCAAGATAGCCACTTCCGGCCAGAATTCCATCTTTGGCTTTCAACAGACAATACGATTAGTCGACGTCGGACTCGACGATAGCTCTCCCATCCGTCTAGTAGAGGGTTTCAGAGTAAACAAGGTCTGGTGCAACACAATCAGTTACCAATGGACAGCGGACACACCAAAGACTAGTCTGAAGAGGCATAACAAAGCCGCTTACTCCCATACGGTTCCTACGCAGGACTGGCCCAAGGTCTACCAGGACGTCGTGGTCGTTTGTCGCGCCCTTGGTGTTCGGTACATATGGATCGACTCCTTTTGTATCATCCAGGATGATCTGGAAGATTGGAAAGTCCAGTCCTCAATGATTCAGGATATCTACTCCCATGGTTACCTCAATCTTGCCAATGTACTAGGGAAGCACGCCGACGGACTCGAAGTAAAGCGCGATCCTACGACTACTTCTCCCTGCATTTTATCTCGCAAGTTTGATGATGGTTCAACGGCATATTGGGGATGCATCGAAGACGGAAGCTGGCGGGAGCAGATCCAAGATGCACCGTTATACACAAGAGGATGGTGTTACCAGGAGCGCTTCCTGTCTGCAAGAACGGTTCAGTTTGGTCAGCAACTATATTGGGAATGCAGAGAGCAGTTTGATTCTGAGTCGGTTCCCTCCAGGAAGGCCTTTTATGACCTCAAGCATCCGGACCTCATGACCACTTTTGAAAAGGATAAGGAGAGCGCTAGTGGGGCGTTGAGTCCGCATGAGATTTGGAACACGGTCGTCAAGATTTACACCACCACCCAGCTGACGCAGCAATCCGACAAGTTGGTTGCCCTGAGGGGCGTCTTCAACCGCTTTTGGGAGCGATTTGAAGCCAAAGCCCAACAAGGTCGGAATCAGCAAAACATCGACTGGTGCATAGCCGGCCTCTGGAAGCGCGACCTCATCCGCCACCTCCTCTGGCGTCGCGAGACTTACCAACTTGATTCCATTCCCAACCCAGAAAGCTGGCCCTCTGAAGATGACCAGTTCAACGCCCGCGCAACCGAACTCCTAAACCTCTACCCCTCCTGGTCATGGGCCGCTTGTCCCTCTTACCTCGGTTTCGGCATCTGTTTTACTACGCAACCTAGTGATAAGGTTGAGGACATGATCGTCATTGAGAAGATTGTCCCTCTTAGCCATACACAAACCGACTACACGGCCTTCGATCGCTCAGCCCTCATCCTCCGCGGTCTTCTCTATGACGGCATCACCGCCATTGACATGGGCCAAGTTTTTTCCGACTGGGCTGCCAAAGCCGAATCTTCTGGAACCGTCAAGCACCATGCGCAACTTCTCCGCCGGTCTGCGTGGTGGGTACACTTTGATCGACCTTTACTCAGCCCTCCGCCTAAACCAGAAAAAGTGGGTGTCCTAATGATCAGGTTGGTGGGACTAGGCGAGGCGAGGCAGACAAGGTGGATGCATGGGCTTTTGGTGGAGTCATTGGGAGTAGGGGAAGACGGGTTGCCGACGTATAGACGGATGGGTTTTTTCTTGCTTAGGAGTAAGAGGGGGTTGATTCCGGGGGTGGAGTGGCCGGAACGGTTTGAGACGGGGGAGGAGGCAGAGACTGCGATTAAGGAGGTTAGGGAGAGGAGGAGGGCGTGGCCTTTGTTGAGGTTGGTTTAGGGGTTTGTAAACTTGGGGATCTGGGCGGGGATGGATTGGTATTATCATGGCGTTCGGACAGTTGAAGGATTTCGACCTCGATGTCAACAGAGCTGAGGGGTAGAGAGACTGAAGGCACTGAGCCGGCCACACTGATTATGGTGGTGGTCAAGGCAAACGGCTGGAGATCACGGGAAAAGCGTTGATCATAGGTTATAAACTCCACATCGACATG